CGCTAGTTTTGGGCGAGAAACAGCGTATTGCACTTGTTTTGTTTGGGCGTGCAGGTTCTGCTCCACTCGTCCCTAGGCTCTTGTGAACATGTCGAGGAATGCCTGGAATCGCTGGTCTGGAGTTCGGGATAGCCACTGTTAGAGCTCGGCAGCAGGCTCGTGGAAAATCCTGATAAGGCTCGGTAATGTAAGGCTACATCATCCCCGAATTTTCGATCATGCACTGCGTGCTTCATGATGTCGCTTCAGATGCCTTTTGATAGATGCAGGATCAATGAGGAGCTTCTTTGCAATATCTGCTTCTTGTGCCAGCAGAACTTTTTGCATCAGTTCCAGAGAGAGAGAGAGAGAGAGAGAGAGTATCATGTTGAGTTCACTGATGTTCTTGGTGCAGATGTGGGTTGAACCTCACTTTGCTCCAACATGCTTGCTTCCCTAGGGTGTGGATAAGGGGTCTGAACTTTCCCACATCAGCTGCACCAGAAAGAGCATCTCTGATTTGGACTGTCGCAGCTTCAGCTCAAGGGCTCTTCTTAGCGAGGAGTAGACATGGACTCACAGGCATGGACCCACAGGACCATGAGAGCTTCTCATGTTCTGATTTTTCGAATGACAAGGTAGTGCAACCTTGACAGTCTTGGCAGCACTGTTACATCATACACCTGTAACTGCGTACTGCTTTCCGATAAACCTGCTGTGCATGAGCATGGACCTGTATGGTTTTTCAACGTCACCGTGTCCTGCGCAGGCAGGTTTTTCCAAAGCGTCCCACCGTCAAGATCTGCCGACTGTCGTCAGGACATCTATGCATCGGCCAAGCGTGTAGAAGAAGCATGCATCACAGCATGCTAGGGCTTTCTTAACAGTTTTTCGATGCGAGCTGTGGGGTCGATTACTTGTTGCCTCGCAGGTGCAGCTGCAAGCTCCGCGTTTGCGCGTTTTGTCCTCAGACCGGCAGCCATGAGACTTCTTGGCTGACATGGACATCAAGTTTGGATGCAAGTAGCTGTAGACGACCCGTGTGTCGCGGGATTGAGCAGTTTTCAATAGCTCGTTTTGCCGAGTTTTTGTTATGCATTCAGCCCCTATCTTCAAGAACTGTGCGGGGGTCTGGGTCCTTGTGCCATTAGCGCTGCCTGGCCAAGGAACGTCTTGGACAAATGTGACCTTAATGCCCGTCTGATTGCTTCCCCTTTGTCTGACATGCCAAGAACACCCAGTCATGCATCAAAAACCCGAAGCCCGCGAACTCGTACTTAACTCTCGTTCCTCAAGCATGGCTTTTGCGCGATCGGCTCTGAGGTTTGTCGACCCGGCAGCACCGTGCGATTGCCGCCAGTTTTTCAGATCCGGCCTGCATTGCGAAAGCAGGACTCCATGCTGTGAATTGTGCCGAAGTGGTCCTGCTTTTTCAAACCTTCGTATCGCGACGCGAACACTGCCAATGCTTCTAAGCCTAGCTGGTCTAGTTCCTGGGACGTGAACTACATGCTTCCAGTTTCATAATCTGTATGTGTATGCACGCGGACAGAAGTCGTGGGTAGCTGCGTAAAGTTCTTGTCGGCACAGGGCTCCGGTGGCATCGCAGCTCGACGAACGGCCTCGCGCAGTGAGGTGCCCACCGATGCGGCTTGCATTCTGCAAAGGGTGGTCGACCATCGAGGATTCCCGCCTTTTGTCTGGACATCTTTGGAGTCGCAACATGTCTGCGATCTACCCGAATCTCTGGAACGTCCAACTCTATCAGCTTTCAGTTATGCTCCCTTTGTCAATCAGTCTTGTCTTCTGCTCGATGGTAGTAGAGGTTTCTAGCGCGCCTAGCAGTAGAACTTGGTGTAGAGTTTTGTGAGCCAGCTCCCTCAGAAGGTGGATCAGCCTGCCAGGTGTCTACGAAGGAGCAATTGCTAGAGGCCGGCGGTGGATGCATATTCGGTGTGGTTTGTTTTGGCGATTTTTCGCGTGTAGCAGTTAAACCGACAAGATGCGCCGGGTTTAGTGAACTAGGCTGGGGAAACGAAAGATTGAATACAGCACGGGTTTGCAGGAAAGGATCCGAAGCTAGGGGCGTTTGGGTGTCCCCTGCTACTGTAGGCGTGGAAGCTGCTGCCAGACGGCCGCTTCCGTGGCAAGCTGAGGCCAACCCCGAAGCCCTTCCGCCCATCTCCAAAGAGAGTCGCTTTTTTGGCAGTTCCGGTGTCATGGTGGAGTTTCGTGGCGAGCTAGTCGGGTCCGGGACTCAGCTCAGGCAAGCGCGGCAACCTAAACCCAGAAACCCTAAACCCTAAACCCCCTAAACCCTGAACCCCTGAACCCTAAGCCCCGAAACCCTAAACCCTAACCGCCCTTCTGCACCTGAGGCCCGAGGATCCCGGGGTCGTGATCGGACCCAAGGGGGTGCGCTACGTGCTGGGCGAGGCCGGGGGGGGGGTTTCCGGCATCCTAGGAGCTTCTCGGGGTTCCTTTTAGGGTTCCTTTTAAGGGTTCATGCAAAGGGTTCCTATAAGGGTTCCTACAAAGGGTTCCTTTAAGGGTTCCTACAAAGGGCTACTATAAGGGCTCCTACAAAGGGTTTCAATAAGGGTTCGTTTGGGGTTGCAGAGATTTAGGATTGGAGCTTTCGGGCTATGGGGTTTCGGATTTCAGAGTGCTGGGATGTTAGAGGGTTTGCTTGGGGAGGTTCGAGCTCATTGTCTTTTCCTGCTGGCAAAGCGCACGAGATGGCTGTATGTCTTCCTCGAGTGAGCAACCTATGTCAGAAACAACTTGAAATGCCGGGTCAACCGCAGTATCATCATCAACTTTCAAGATGAGACTAAGCACACCTTGCTTTTGTTTGTTCTTTTGAAAGACGAGTGTTGTGCTGCTTTTGGGTTAACTAGAGTCCTCGCAAAATGTGATTCTTTCTCTGCATTCATCTTTATCAACTTGTCATGTCAATGTCTTTCACACAGTCCTGCAAGTGCTAAAGCTAAAGCTGCGAATCTGTGAATCCCAGCCGCCTAAGCCTACAAGGAGGTCTAGCATCGGAGCAGGATTTCCTCTCGTTGAACTTCTTACTGCACACGCTTCTTGCCGATAGCTATGGCGCTTCTTGTGTTTACTTTTTTGTTTCAGTTGGCGCATCTGCAAGCTTCACTCCGTGGGATGTTACGACAGGCTCCCGAGGCTTCTGCCGAAACATCCTCCCCGGTTCAAGTCTGACAGAAGCGTTTTTACTTGGCAACTCGCCAGAGCTTTGGCTGCCCATGCGTCAGAAGACCCCCAGCTTGCAAGTCCAAGATTCTACCTTTTACATGTAATTAGCTTCGTCTAGCGTTAAGGTATTGGTAAGGCAAAGCTTTTCATAGCGGTTCTGTTGCTCCTGTAGAGCTGTTCATGATCCTGCAATCCTTGCGTGCAATCGTTCTGCTTATTGATCATGGTTCGCTTCTTCCATCTCATGGGGAAAACGCGGCAGGCCGCGCCAACGCCGGCAGCACCAAAGGAGGAAGCAGCTGGGAACGACAGTCTAGTGAAGGCTGCCGGCGGGGACTTCACTTGATGTCTGTCCGGTCGGTCTTTCTGGTTGATATATGTAGATGCGAGAAAGAATTTCGTTTATGACTGCTATACTGTATTATACTGTGTAACATTGCCTGGTATTGTGTTATACTGTATGGTCGTAGATATGGCAATGCAACATGGTACCACATGACATCATGCAGCATTCCTTGTGTAACGCAGTTTTCTTATATCATATCGTTTTAGTTTCTGTTTATGTCGTTGCAATACAACATGACAGCATAATGTGCACAGCTGACTAGAGACAACATCTAGTTGCAATATGCTGTGTCATGCCATGGTACCAGAGTAGACTGTCTATATCGGAATATGCTTCAACATATTACAAATTCAGTCTACGAACCGTGGATATAGCAAACCCATGTAAAATACTTTGCCATTTCCTCGCTGGTTCAATCGAGTACGTGCCGCAGTATATACCATGCCTTATCGCCCTCAGAATGCTACATGCTGAAGTACGTGAGATCCGAACATCGCATATGGCAGGATTCAATGTACCGGTAGTATGATACAGTATAGCCTTGGAAGCGGCAGTGCCATCCCCTGCGCGAGATACCGTACTAAACTGCGATGCGGTATTCCAGGATATGCTACAGCTCGAAGTAGAAAGCTTACTATAAATTGACATAAGCAGTACAGTATGCATGGGTCCCGCATGATGTTATAGTACAGCATCCAGGAAAACAACATGATATTATATAGAAGAGTAGAAAATGTTTGAAGAAGCAGAATACGGTGTATTGGATGCAATATAGTATGATATAGAATATAGAAACCAGGGGAAATTGAGCATAGGAAGCCAATCTCGCCAGCGCTTCTCGGGATGTGCAGGCAGCCGTCGCAGGAGCCGGGGCAGCAGTCGCAGCCGTGGTTGCCTACTTGGTGGCACGCTCAGCCTCCTGCCCTCTGCCTGTAGCTTCCGGTCTCCCTTCTGCAAAGTATAGTATGGTATGCAGTCCACTGGTAGTATGTCTTCTAGAGCAAGCAGCTAAAGGGTATAGTTTCCCCTGCCCCAGCCCAGTGCAGAGTTAGGTGCGGTGCCTTGTTCAGGTCTTGCCAGGGATGCTCCAGACATCTCCAGTGGTTGCCCAAGATTCTCTTTCCTTTGACATGAGTAGCGCCGTTTCGCTGCTGCGGCGGTGTCCCGAAAGTCTTCTTTTCAGACCCTATCATTGATATGATGACGACGGCGATGATGACGATTGCTGGTACTATTGCTGTTCTGCTCTATAATAGTTGTTGTCATCATTATTGGTGCCTGTGGCCCTGGAGCCCTGCTGAACGTCCGGGCTCAGCTGAGGTGGTCTCCGGATCCGGCTCACCAGCAGAGTCCTGAGAGTGAAGCAGCTACCTTCTCTTGAAAAAGCTATCAACTCGGCCCATGGATAGTTGAAAGGTCACGAGAACCAATGTGACGATTGTGCCGGGCTGAGGTGCAATGAGTTTCATGTCTTCAGTCATGTTTAGGATGCCGGAGAAAGTCTCGACCACATACGGGTGGTCAAGTGGTCTTGGGATCTATTCCGTCTCGGCCCTGCTGAGGTTGAGACCAAGAAAACACTTCCTGACGGGTCTACGGCCAAAATCGTTGACCGCACAGTGAGGCGTTTTCGAAGCCGCCAGCATCAGTCTTCCCATGACTTGAGAAGTCGCTCCAGCTTTTCATCAACGTGTGGGTTTAGGGTTTAGGGTAGTGCAGGGTGCCTCTTTAGATTCCATTGGATGCTTATGGGGCAGGCGTGAGAGGAATGTTCCCGGCAAAGGTCCGGTCGTTACGGTGCGGCTGACCTGTATTGATCGCGGCAATGAGGAGATCCCTCTGGGATCCACTTCTGTGCATCTTCGCTAGGAGCGGACAACTCGAACCGAGAAGGCCGGCTTTGATTGGAGCTGCCATTGTTCTGTTCCGCGTTGCTTTAATGGTCGACTTCAGGCCCTTGGTTTGTCAGGAAGTGCCGAGTATTTCCCAATCTCGATGCGAGCCTTCTCAAGAGAAGCAGCCAGGGCTAGACATGGAGCTACTTCCTGCTAAAACTTGACTCATCCTGCACCGAGCCCTAAACTTAGATCCCCGAACCCTCAGCCCTAAGCCCCCACTGAACAGTAACTATGCTATCTTGGATGCATTTGACCCCTGAAAGGCCCTGAGCCCTGCCACGGAAACGCGTAAGCCCTACAAACCCAGACCCTGAACCCCAAACCCTCAAAACTAAAGCCCTAGCCCGAACCCGAGCCCCAAACTCTTAAATCCTGGACCCGCCCCAAACCCCGAAGCCTTAAACCTAATCCCTGTAACAAGCCTCCTAAACTAGGCTCTCCCGACTGTTGCAGGACGGAAAAAGGCCCTCAAAAAAAAAACCTAATCCCTAAACTCTCAGTTCGAAGCCCTAAACCCTAAACCCCAAGCCTTAAAATCTAAACTCTGAGCCCTAAACCTGAAACCCTAAACCCCTAAATTTGAAACCCTAAACCCCTAAACCCACAAGGCCTACAGCCGTAACTGGCATGAGCCATGTCCTGGCTTTGCCGGCTCCCAAAGCGGCCCTTTGAGGTCAGTGAGAGAGGCCTCCAAGGTGCTACGAAGAACGGCCCTCGTGGTTTAGGGTTTAGGGGCTTTTTGGGTTTAGAGTTTGGGATTTGAGGGTTTCGGGTTTACTTCCAAAGTAAGGTTCAGGGTTTTGGGGTTGGGGGTCTGGGTTGGAGAGTTGTGCTTAAATCTTTTGAAAGGTGTGGAGCTTAGGCGGAAAGGGTAAGGATTCATGAGGCTTCTGTCTTCATGGCCCAAGAAAACACTTCCTGCCCTTCCTCCCCCTCCCTCCCTACTCTCTACACTGTGACTATGTGCGCATGCCTCTGTGCCTGACTACATGCAGGTGGTGTGCGCGTAGGTAGTTGCGTCTTCCCCTGCCAGATTATGGTTTTGCAGCCTGCAGGCGTGCCGCCCGAACCTGCAGCTGAGCAAGTCGATCGAGCTGTGGAGAGGCCACGTCGACGTTTGAGGCGGCTGGCCGAGGCTCACGGGGCCTTCGTTCTGCTGGGAAGTGCTTTCTGTGCCTTCGGCGATTGTCGCATGTGCAGGAGAGGTCAGAGTCGGGGCTCTTTTGGGATGCGCCGGAGGGCGAAAGGCGCGAGCTTGCAACACGCCCTTTCGGCAGCTTTCGCTGTTTTTGCTTCTGCCGTGCAGGCCACACGTACAAGCCGGCAACATCGACCTTTCCGGCGAGGCCCCACCTCCGAGCCTTCCCCGGGTCGGCGCTCCCTTCCGGTTTCAGTGGCGCGCGGGGCCCACTGATGCAAAGGCCCCGGAGCCCTCGCTGGAGCCGGTGGCGGCTTCAGAGTCAGCGAGCGGATCCGGAGGATCAGCCAGACCCAAGGAGGGATCGAGCGTCGGAGACGGCCTGGAGACGGAGGCTGTAGAACTCCTGTCCTCGCCGCCGCTTCAAGCGCAGCGCGTGCCGGAAGACTTGGGAAGACGGCCGGGAGATCTCGAGAGCAGCCCAGCTCGTCGACGTCTGCCTCACAGCTTTGCTTCCCAGCCTTCCGCAGCATCCATGCTCCCAGTGCTGGAGATCCCTGCGGCGTGATGGCATAGCAAGGGTTTCGAGGTTCTTGTCCTAACCTGCCCGACTCCGACTCCTCCCCTGCCCCAAAACCCCAAGCTCTAGGGATTAGGCCCTGAAGTCCAAGCCCTTGGCCAAGGAGAGCGACAGGCCCGACCTTGCAGCGGTGCTCATCGACGAAGGGACGGAAGAGGAGGCGAGGGATGGGGAGGGGGAGGCAGAAACCCAACCCTTCCTACATACTCCCTGAATGCAGTGAACACGAAGCCGGCAAAGACCCTGACAAACAGAAAACACAACGGAGCATTACTTGAATGACACCAGCCGCAGAACCAAGAGAAACCGGAACAAAGACAAGGCCCGGCAAAATGCCTGGGAACAGCAAAAGAGGGCGTCCAAGACCCTAAAAAAGACCTGGCACCTAAATCCCTAACCGCAAAACGCTAACGCCCTAATGCCCTGACAAAAGGGAGCCCTAAACCCGGACGCCCCAAAGTCCCAGAGCCACAAAATTCCTGTAGAGTCCGTATAGAAGGCTAAACCCTCAAAGCCTAAAGCCCTAAAGTAATCGCATGGCAAACTATTGTCGATGATGGTAGTATACTCTTGTGAACTCTTTAGTATGTTATAGCATATTATAGTATTTTTTTGGTAGTGTTTTTGAAAATTGTAGTATTTTGTGTCTTTTTGAATAGTATGTTTGTATATTATAGTATTTTTGTATATCATAGTATATTTTAGTAAGCCACGCCGCGGCCGTTTGAAAGCCAAGATCTCCGACTTGTCAGGAGGAGACCTGGGTCAGGCCTCGAACCCCCGGCAGTCGCCGGCGCCGGCGCTCCACTGGGGGCCCCGGGGCTCCATCTACAAGAAGTAATAGGAATAAGAATAAGAAGAATATTGATATTAATAAAGAAAGCGTGTATATACGCGTGTGTGTATATATACATACATACATACATACATACATACATACATACATACACACACACATACACACATACATACATACATACATACATACATACATACATACATACATACATATGTATAGGTATGATTGTA